CGGTACGGGGACCAGTCTCGTACCAGTTCTCTGCTGCTGTACTTGTACTCAGTGTGACTTGCCGTTTCGGCATTGGGAATCCAAGACTTCGACTTTGTGCCTTGCCACTGTGTCTGCGTCCAACCCTCAGTCCGAGTCCGTCGTGTCGAGTGAGTGAGTGTGTGTGTGTGCTCTCACTCTCTCCCTCTCTCTCTCCTCTCCCTCGGCTCACCCTCAGCCTCACTCCCGTTACACCATCGCCCTCCTCTGCCTCGCGCCCTGCAGCCCGGCTATGGCCGCTAGCGCCCCGCTGCCCTGCAGCGCCCCTCACCTCTCAGCGCCCGCGCGCGCCCAGCCAATGCTAGCGCATGCAGACACTTGCTTCCTAGCGCAGCAGCGTGTCCGCAATGCCCGCCTAGGCCAGAATGCCTATCTCTGGCTGGCTGGCTTCCTGTATGGAAGTGGCCACTGCTGCTGGACTCCTTGGGCCTGGCCGTGGAAGTTTCCAGTAGCTTCTGGTCGGGCCCCAGTGTCTGCGCCCAGGCCCATCTCGACAGTTGAGGGCCTGGGCCCTTTTCAGTTGGGCACACCCAGCATTTTCCAGGCTCCGAACGTTTGCTGCATTTGCACAGGCCCACAGGGTAGATATGACGACAATGCTGCTTTCTCATTGACCCATGGCCACTTCGAGATGTGTCGGCCTCACAATGTGTGTGCCCAGGGCACAACCACCCGGGCCCTGGGCTCAACTGCCTGGCGCAGTTGCTTCTTCTGGAAGAGCCCAGGGTAAGGCTCAGGTTGCACTTCAACCAACTGTCATGCGGCAACTGTCTGAGACCCGCATTGGAAAATGCTGAGATAAGGGCCTCTCGTGAATATTCAGGCCCGCCTTCACTTACGGCAGGCACGTAGCTTGCTGGGGGGCCACATTCCAGAACATATGCATGTTGCCTACGGGCCCCTGAGGACAGAGTCGTCACATTTGTCACAGGCTCACAGCCCCTCATTTGTTGTCCTCTTCTCCCTCTCTGCTACGGTTTACCGGGCAGCTCTATTTGACGATATATATATCGTCAAATAGAATACATATATATAATATATGTAATATATATTTATGCCCGATGGACCACGGATCAAATATAAAACTGATCAGAACAGAACTTTTTGGCTCCTGGCGATCGTCTTGAGTCATTATTAAACCTCTTTTTTTTTTCTTTTTTTTTTGTGTCATTCTTGACCTATTTTACTGAAGCCACAGGTTTCAGTTGCACTGACAACAATGAGTTCAACACCACTACCCAACTATCTGACGCCTAAGACCTCCTATACTCCTAGTGGAGAATGCTTCTACCTACATACTCAATGCTGCACCAGAAATATCACTATTTGATCACATGCCTCATCCACACCGTCTCGTTGTCTCTTTTCCATACTAAGGGGGAGGTGCTTTCTTGATTACTCATTGCAACATGACAACTTCGTGGTCGACCAGGTAGGCAGGCAGCCTCCAATCCGTGCCCCTATTCATCTCTCCAAGACGAACTGGGTGTTTTTGACCACCCCCACATTGTGCTTATACATCTTCTGGTGCAGCCACTTCAGATCCACAAAAGGGGGTGCACCACAAGATCTATAAGCACAATGTGGGTTTCATATCAACCCATGTAGTGGGCTCAGCCCGGAGCTGGGGAGGTTAGTGCGAGACTGAGCGTAGACCCATGAAAATAGGCAAACGACTCCGGTCTTTGCTCAGTCCTGCACTTACCTCTCAAGCTCTCGGCTTCACATTTTCTCTGAACACTACTTTCCCAAGAAAGACAGCAAATGGGCAACAGGCTTTAACAAAAGGAAAGGAAAATAAGGCAACGAGCTGGAGCTTACAAAAAATAAAAACTTGCAAAGATTAACCAGTGAGATTGTCTTGCTTTCACCGCTAAGAGTGACCTGTATAAACTACATAGACAACTGTACAGGCACTTGAGGTTAGCCGCAAAGATATGCAAGAGGCAATTTGACACTTAATAAACTCCGTATCTTCCTCTCCACCAAACAATCATGCACACACAATTGCCGCAGCAACTCCCTTCAAAGGAAATTAGGAGAGGTTCATGATCTTGCCGGAAAAAAAGGCCAACTTCACACCAATGGTGCTGTTGTATGCCCCACAGACAAGGATAGACTGCAATTTGACAGCATAAAAGAGTGAATGCTGTGGAACGCCGAGCATCACACACAACAACTTGAAGAAGCGTGCACCAACAATGCAATCTATGTGAGGTGGATGTGGTGAAAGAATTCAGAAGGCGCCGCAGGAAAATAAAAGAGGAACACAGAAAAGCGAGAGCACACATGAAACAAATGCAAGAATTTGTGAAGAGATAGATAGTAGATACTGCAGACTCTCACCAAATTTGGCTTCACACATCCAAAGGGACTGACGAAACCGACTGCACCCACATTGTGAAGAGCCAAATGCTCCATTATTTCAGATTTATGCCCAAACTGCAGCATCACCAATTAGCACATGATTTTCATGCTAACTTAGTAAGAGGAGTAAATTGTAACCAGGCATATGCTATCGATGAGGTGGTAGCCGGCGCCTCCTCTTCATACTCGTAAGGAATAGCTCTGACTCGCCAGACAAAACTATATCCCCCATACATAGGTAACATGATAAGCTTTCTTTTGCTTGCATCGGCCGCGTGTGCAGCATAGCTGTCGGGTTATGGGTTCAGAATATATCGTCATTGTATGGAGAGATCAGGCGCACACGGCAACTGAAGTCTGCAGTCGATTAGCCCAGTAGACGCAGTCCTTCATCCTCTCCAGTCTTCTAATTGGTGCATTCAAAATCCTCAGCGATCATCGCACAGAGAAATAAAGACCGCTCTCTGCGAGTCGTCACGATTACATCCAACTACATCTGACGCTCTATCCGTCGTCCAAATTTCGCTTATGTATATGCTTGGCGTCCAATTCATCATAACTGCTACAGTGCATAACTACTAAGTTACCAGTTCTGGCCTCCTCACATGCACCTCTCTCTCTCTGCTCTCACCCTCCTCGTCGTCATAAACCTCATTTACACGTCCTTTCAATTAAATCACCATCCATCAGTGAATCATTGCTTTCATACAAAAACTATATCTATTTCATTCTATATATACACAGGGTCAGGGGAATGGACATGTGCAACATGCCCCCTTCATTAAAATTGATTGATGCTATAAAATCGCTATCTGTAAGCTTTGGTACAAAATTATTATATCTATTATATACAGGGCCATGGATTTGGACATGTTTCACATGCCCATTCAGATACCATGATCCACCCAAGGGATTTCTTATGAATCCCCAGAACTATAAAACCGTAACAAAAAAAGATCGTTATGTACAGCAGGCACTAGATGAGTAACAAAATGTTCGACATGAACTCGTAACAACTATCTAAGGACACCAGACCTCTAGTAAAAATTGGTAACTCCACAAGGCACAAAGGCACTAGTTTGGGCCAAGGAAAAAAACAAGGAGCCAACTACCCCCCCCCCCAAAAAAAAAAAAAAACGCGCATCATACCTGTACAGCAGTAATTGTAACTAAGGATCCCAAAGAGCATTCCCTCAACCAGGCAGAAAAATCGGCAAAATCATGGATGATGCACTGCGTTCACATAGGAAGTCGCAGCGGCGGCAGCAGCAGCAAAGTTGCAATAGGAAGCAGGAGTATCAGGTGAGCACATTAGCGGCCAGCCAAAGCGAGAGGGCAGTTCAACCAGTGGTGCAAATGTCAATATGACTCAACTTCGGTTGCTGCCCAATAAACCCTAAACCAAGTGAGATAACTGTACATGCAACAACAACAACGAAAAAAAGAAGAGGGAAGAAGTAAGAACCCCCAGCCGTCTTTCTACAATGAAGCGCTGCCATGAAAAGATATGTAAAATGCATAGCAGGTGCACATGTCGCAACTGCAGCTGAAGCATCAACAGCAGCAGTAGCGCAGTACCAGAGGATCATAGTGGCAGCCCTGGCAAGGGGAGCTCAACCAGCGACGGAAACATCAATGGCTCAATCTGGCTGGCTGCCCATTATGTGTTCTGTTGTGCCGAGTAAGATCCACCTTGTATCCAAAAAGCCGTCCACATCCGGGATACCTGCAAGGCAAGACAAGAGGCATCATTCACGATAACGTCAGTAGCGTTTACGCCGTTTAGCTAGCTAGCAGGGCATTCATCCATGGGCGAGGAAAGGTGTGACACCACTGCGAAAAAAAGATGCGCATATGGCGTGAGACTCTCAGCACCTTTCTTCTTTTTTTTTTTTTAAGAAAAAAGTAAGTGCAAGGAAAATGAGCGATAGCGAACTTCAGAAATCAAACAGCATCATGGACATGAGACCAGATAGTCGTGACCTCGAACCAATAGCAGGATTGCATCACGAGTTCAACCAAATAAGAGCACAGCAAAAATTCATAATTGACAATGCTGGAATAGTCTCATCATCATCAACGAAGAACCAATGTCGATATCCTATCTGGCGCTCGGCGACCAGACTACAAATGGCAGATCCTATCTAGCCTATCTACAATGCCGCTGATGACGTCAACAGCTCCCCAAAGTACGAGCAGATCTCGGGCAATGCCGTTCGCTTCAAGCACCAGTTATGTCTCTCGTATCACTCACAACCTCGTTCCCCAATTCACAGATGCCACATGCACCCAAGGACCACCATGCGCCCCATCCAGCATACAGCAGCGCAGCTTGGGTATGGCTGCCTGCTCCTTCCAGCTCGCCCGTGAGAGCGTGAGCGCTGGCCAGCGTTAGCGCAGCAGCACTTGCGCAGCATGCAGTCAGTGCCCGAATGTCCAATGCGTGGGCAGGCCCTTCCCTATATCGAAGTGGCCTGCTGCTGTGTGCCGTAATTCGGTACTGAGCCACGGCCCAGAAACTTCCGGTAGGCCCCACGAGGCTGAGCCTCAGTCCAAAGGAAACAAGCCCAGGGCCTGTGGTGGTTACCAGCGCCCAACTGCCCTCAGCCTTTGTTCGGTCCATGTTGTGTATCCGGCCCAGGGCCTGCCTCAGTTACATACGATGAAAGGCAGCCTGGGCCTGGGCGCTTCCAACCAACTGGCGCTGCGCAACTGCCTGAATTTTCCCCAGTTGCGTAGTAGTCCAAAATAGGCCTCGGTCGGGCCTGCCTTCACTTAGGGCGGCCGACCTTGCTGATAACAGGGCCCAGTGGGGCTTATTGAGGCCTTGTGCCTTGCATAAGCTAAATTCTTCTCTCAATTTCACCTCACACTACATACCTACCACTACTACTAATTATAGTCCTACGGGGAACCCCATAGCAGCTAGGACGTCTTGCCGGGAGGCGTCGAGTCCGATACGGAAACCTCAGCCTAACAAATGTGGAAACTGCACTCATGTAAAGCAAAGCACTGAGCTTGGTAGCACGATGTACATGTACGCGGGTTGTGCGTACACCCGTACACGTATTCCTGTACGTATGTGCAATCAGACTCAACTCTGGACTTGCTCACAACATGCACACTTGAGAACTGATGGCAAAACTGAACTCTTTCAACTCAAAAACAACAATGAACTTGTCTTAAACTCAATCTGAACTACTGCACAACTTGCGGCTATGGCCGCCGAACACTGTCTCTACCACCAGCCTCACTCTCTCCCTCACTGTCTCATGCGTGCACGTACGAGGACCACCCTGAATGTCCCCACTCAGCACAGCCTCACACACTCTGAACACTTATCTTCACCAACAGCTGGGCGGCCATGGCCGCGGACGTCTACCCCACTGGCCAGCTATGGCCGCTGTCTTCTTCACTGCCCACTTCGTCTCCAGGAACCTGCAGACCTCCATGCACAAGACACCAAGGCAGCTCTTCCGCATGGCTCACAGACAAATGAATGAATGGCTGGACGCTGCCTGTTTATTTATACTTCTTCGGAGGTACCCGGACCCTGCCTCCAGATCTGTGGGCCTGGGCCAAAACGTGTGGCCCAGGGAAGCTTCCAAACGTTTGGCCTTCTGGGCCAAAACGTGTGGAACTCTCTGCGTGCTCCAGAACCTTCCCCACGTGCAGCCCTTACCCAGGTACATGCTGGCTGGACCACCCTACAGAACCATACGGACTTCTAGAACCTACAGACTCTACAGACTTTCGACAGACTCAGTAGAGACTTCTAGAACAGACTCTCTAGACCTATTGGTAACAGACCTAGCTGCTAATCTACAGACCTAGGGATCAAGTCCAACTGGCCAAACTACAGACTAACCTAAGCCGTAGGACAGGTTTGGGGATCGAATCCTACTCAGGTCACGGGGTCTATGTACAGGTACAGGGTAGGTCTACGGATCGAATCTCACTCAGCACACAGGGTCAATGTACAGGGTTAGGGCACAGGTCTAGGGATCGAATCTCTGTGACTGCAGTACCAGGTCAACAGGGTGAAACCATTTCACTCCCGCCGTCCTAAATTCGAGGTCCTCCGAGAACACTCTAACTCAAGGCAGGACCTTTACCTTTTCTTTCCCTCTCGTAGGCGTGTACTATGTCGGGAGCGGTTTCTAAAAGCTCTGTTCTTGTAAACCACCAGCCGTCCTCGGGTTCCTGGTATGCGAACCTAACTTTGTACTGTTTCTGGGAACGACCTCGGCCTCCTGTGCTAAACACGTCCTCTTCCACAATGCGCTCTATATCATACGCGCCATCCATGTCTGGAGGAATCATCGACCTTCTGGAAGGGAACCTGTTCGACGTGGTGCAAGGTAACAACTTAGAGGCGTGGAAGACTGGGTACGTGTGGAGGTGTGCTGGGATCTCTATCGTATACGACGGTCCGTCCTCTCCTCCTTTGACTTCTAGGACAGGCCATGATCCTCTATATGCAGGTGAGAGCTTCTGCGAGATGTTTTCCTCCGGTGCGAACTCCTTTGACTTGACCCGGACTAGGTCACCTACCTGAAACTGTGAATGTCGGCGGTGCTTGTTAGCCTGCTCTATCATGCGGTGCTGGGCCTTCCTCAGGTTGTCTGTGACCTTAGCAATCTCTTGCTCATGATGGAGCGTGAGCTCTCGAGTACCGGGTGGAAGTCTCTGGATCTGGTCCCGATTTAGTCCTTCTAGTGGCCGCCTAGGTTTAAAAGACTTATGTAGCTCATTAGGAGTCCAACAAGTAGCTAAGTGAACGATGCTGTTGTAGGCGCTTGCTACTTTGGGAAGCAACTCGTCCCAATCTAGCTGATCTGGTCTAATGTACATTCTGAGTAGCTGTTGCAAGATCTTACTCATCTGTTATGTCTGACCGTTAGTCTCGGGGTGTTGTCCTGACAACATCAACAACTTAGACCCGTATACTTTCATAAGATCTTGCCAGTTCTGGCTGGTAAACTGGGTGTCACTATCTCTTATTATGGAAAATGGCATACCGTGCTCGCTGACCCAGAAATCAAAGAACTTCCTTATTACTAACTCTGTACGGGCCTCTGAAGGCAAGGGAACAAATACTGCAAACTTACTAAATCTGTCTACTATGACCATGACTTGAGTTTTTCCATGTCTGCTTCTGACTCCAGTATCCATGAAGTCAATGGACACTGAATCTCCGAGACCTGAGGGAATAGGCAAGGGTCTAAGAAGACCTAGGGGGGCTTTAGTCGTAGCTTTATTACGCTGACACACTTTGCAACTGCGCACATATTCTATGCAGTCTGCTTTCATGCCTGGCCACATATAGGACATCATCAGGTTGGCTAAAGTCTTCTGCCATCCAAAGTGCCCTTCTGTATCGTGGCATTCCCCTAAGATCAGACTACGGATCTCTTCACTATTGGGGACGCATAGCATGTCAGCGACAACTTTTCAAACAGTAGCCCATTCGTGGTCCGATAGTGTGGCTCACTATCTGGGGCTTCCCTTACTCTTTTCAGCAGCTCACTGTAGATTGGGTCCTGTGCATAGGCATCTCTTACTTTCTGCTGCAGATCGGCCCCTATGTCTAGATAGTGTACTATCACGCCGAAATAATCAGATCTCCTGCTTAGCGCATCAGCTACCACATTGTACTTGCCTTTAACGGGTTTTAACTCAAAGTCATATTGGTTTATCTCAGCAGCCCATCTGGTCAACTTGGGCGTCATCTTGGCCTGTGTCTTTAGCCATCTAAGAGTCTCGTGGTCTGAATAAACCTTGAAGTGCCTCCCAAGCAGGTAGTGTTTCCAGTGCTCTAGAGCCTGCCTGAGAGCGTAGAGTTCCCTCTCGTATGTCGATGCTGCGACTTTCTCTGAAGGCAGCCTGGCTGACATGAACTCTACGGGCCTATATTCGTTGTCGTCATCTTGTTGTAGAACGGCACCTATGCCATACTGACTCGCGTCTGTAGTAACAACAAATGGCAATGATGGATCGATAACTTTGAGGACAGGGTACTCTATCAAAGCCTTCTTCAATTTCTTAAAGGCTGACGTACAATCCCGATCCCACTTCTAGATAGCTTCTTTCTTCAATCGTCTACGAAGGGGCGCAGCGATCGTAGAGAAGTTCCTCATGAACTTCCTGTAGTAGTTAGCCAGTCCTAAGAAAGAACGCAACTCTGTTAGTGTTTTAGGAGTTGGCCAATCTCTGATGGATGCTATTTTGCTGTCCTCAGGCCGAATGCCATCGCCGTCTAGTACATGGCCTAGGTAAAGGACCTGTGTATTGGCCCATTCGCACTTCTTCGGGTTAATCTTAAAGTTACTCTCTGAGCTTACTTAGAATCTGTCGTAGATGGCCCTCATGTTCCTCGAGGGTCTTGCTGAACACTAGGATATCATCTAGGTAAACTACGACGAACCTATCTAGCCAGGGTCTAAACAAGTCGTTCATACACAGCTGAAATGTTGCGGGTGCATTAGTAAGTCCAAATGGCATCACTATGAACTCGTAATGCCCATACCTTGTCCTGAATGCCGTCTTATACTGATCGTCAAGGTGCACCTCTATCTAATGGTACCCTGATTTTAGATCTATCTTCGAGAAATATCTGCACTCCTGAACTCGATCTAGCTAATCATCTATACGCGGTAATGGCTCTGCATTCTCAATCGTGATGGCGTTCAGTCCCCTGTAGTCAATACACATGCGGAACTCTCC